GTTCCGATTCCAGCCAGGCCACACCAATCTCACTGCTGCTTTCACGACTGCCTACAGGATTAGCTCAGGTCCTGCTGCTCTCCCTAGATTAACTTCATCCAACCCACAGTCTTTTTCTGTCTGAGTCACACTTCCTGACCTCAAATTTACAAGGATGGAGGAGTAGCAGCTATGGCAAGTGGCGCATCCACCGATAACTTCAGTTTGGCCCCCACAACCCCCAATGACTTGCCCCTCCTGGCCTGCAACAGCTGTGAAACTCAATGCAGAAAAAAAAAATCTCCATAGGGAGATCTCTGATGTATTTTATGCCTTTTGACTAGCACCTTGTGGCCTCCAACATTAATATACAGTACCCATTAATAATCAAACTCATTTTAAAGATGAAGAAATAGGTAAGAGAAATGGTTTGCTCACAGCTACACAGCAGGTAGAAATAAAGTTGCCTATAAAGCTCAATATGCCCTCTGGAAGTCCTTACCACCTCCGTACTGTGGGCTTCTAATTCTCTCTCTCAAACCTCTTCACACACTAGCAGCCCAGAAATAAACTTCCTGTGAAACCAGCCTTTCAGAGGCTCAGCTAAAAGACTAACAAATCCTAAAGGAGTGAGGGCAGTACAGTAAGTCGACCCTCAGGACAAGTTTCATGTTATCTTTTAACCAGACAGTCTAGATTTCTCGGGGCAAGACAAAAAACGTCTCCAAACGCTCGTCAGCAGTTTTCAGAGGTGGAAAAACTGCAGTTAAAGCACCTCTAGTGAGAACTTGGAGCAGCAGATGTGCTTACACTCAGTTGGTACAATTTTGATTACGAATTGGATGGTGAGTTGGATCCATGTCCTTAGTTCTTTGCTGGAGAGCCATAAATGTAAAAATGTCAGTCACAGGCCATTCCTTCTGTTTACTTAAATGGAGAATTAAAAAAAAAAAAAAATCACTTTTTCCACTTCATGGCTCCTTTGGACCAGGGAATAAAAATAGCCATGTCAGCAGGAGCCAAACTTTTTCTGGAAAAATAAAAGGAGAGGGGAAAGAGCCCTACTCAGGACGAGTGAAGCCTTGAAGCTGCTGCCTCGGAGCAAAACTCTCATTTCAACCACTTCTTTGCTTGCTGCTTCTCTGGGCAGCCTCTGAGCAAGGCGCAGCTCCTAAGAAACTCCGTGGCGTGCCCCGCACAGCCTGCCCCGCGCCCTTCACCCTCCGCGGCCCCGCCACCTGTCGGATGCCCGAGGGCGAGGGCGGCGCGGGAGCGGCTGCGCCGGGGAGGCGGCCCCTGGAGG